ATTTTCTTTAGAAAAGGATTTTCCTTCATTCATTAAGATGCTCTATAATTCTTGATTGTATCAATAAATTATTCAGTTTCTTCCCACTGGCCTCTTGATTTCAAGTTGTTGAACAACTGAATTATTATTTTAGGCACTTCGTAGTCCAAATGAAATGTCTACAACCCCTGCTAGGACAGTGGAAGTAGAATTCCTGTATCCTTTGGAAATGCAGTTTGCTTAAGGGAGAGAACATGGATCAGCCAAGGAAATTGTGTGCCTCACAGATGTGTAGTGTCCCCTGTCTTTAAGCAAGCTGATGTCATACGTTCCCTCCATTATCCAATATGTACAAGCCACAAGTAACCATATTTTTCGTGCTATGGCTTTGTCTATCAGAATTATAAATGTCCTTTTTCTCATATCCCTGTAATGATCAACTGGCTCCCTCTTCTTGTGGATAGCCTCAAGTAAGTTGTTATGTTCTTTTAACTACATAGGATCTATATGTAAGGCTTTCTCCTGCATTTTCTGCCTGAATATATGTCATTTTTTTGTTTTGCAAGGTTTTTAATTGAATCAGGGATTTTTGCCTGAGAAACTGACTCCTCTTCCACTTCTCATTTGTTTCTTGTTGGAACAGAGAAAGCGCAGGGAATCTGCTTCCAGTTCCTCATCTGTCAAGAAAATGAAGAAGCCATGAACACCATGATGATCCAAGTTCAGGATCTTGGAGGACCAAGCGCAAGAAGGATACGTCTCCCCATACTGTAGCAGGGACCATTATGTTGAAGGATTTTGTTTGCCTTTGCTTACATCACGAAGAAGGTGTTTACTGCCCTGGTAAAGAAGAGGCTGAGCTCATAATCCTGAATTGATTGTTGCTGTGATTTTGCTGTATATTTTTTCCTATTCCTGAGTTTTGTAAATGTTGATGTAAATATAGAATCCATAATCTCTTGTTCCAGAATCAGTAATCATTGAGAGGGAAGGGCAGGAGGATAGACCCTTTGTCAACATGAGTTTTGTACTGGAATGGGCAAGGGCTGTGTAATTAAAGTTATGGTAGACATGTATCACATTATCAATGGAGAAAACTGACCCCTGGTTGAGCAGTAATTCTAACTGCTTCCTCCCATTCTCATAAAGTTGGCATATGTTTTTCTTTGTGGTTTAGCAGACCAGTTTATAGAATACACACAACCTAAATTGTCCTCCCAAGGTTTCATCTTGTTAAAGAAAACTTGCTTATTAATTCAGAGTCCCTGCATCTAAATTCGGTATTAAAGCAAGGAATTTTTACCCCCTTGACAGTTGGTGAGGCAAATATAACTGCAATAACCATTATTTTTAGGGTCATTCTCTGCTGGACTGAAAGAGACTCCTTTTGCAATTATAGCATCCTTTGTCAGATTAGTGTGTAAGTACCTTTACATAAAACATTGGCTCAGTCATTTCTAACTTGATGCCCTCCAAGTGGGTTGGGATTTCTGGTTACTATGAAATAATTGTTCTTAAGGCTCCTCACAGCGCAATCCTTTCTATTTACTGAGAAGCAAATCCCTCTTTGTTCTGCATAGATATTGAGAAATGTGGAGATCTCATTTTTATTGTAATGCTGTTGATGGTCCAGATTTCATTTGTACCATCTAAAATTGCTGTCTGGTGTGACAGTTGTGTCAGTTCCACTAAAGCAGTGAGCTAAATAAATGCTGGTTAGTTAAAAAAAACCCCATCATTATCCCATACTTGGGAGTAGCTTTGGTTGGGAGAATTAAGTAAGGCGAGAACTCCAAAGCCAGAAATGTATATAGAATAAGAGATCCAGTTATCAGAGAGGCTCTTTGTAAAACTACTAATGGTATTTTCTTAGTAGAATAAATTATGCAAAATAGAAAACACCTGTATTTATGCATAATTCATCTAGATTAAAGAATTCTAGTTTTGTTACTAACACAGAATATACTCGGAATATTCTTTGGAAATGGAGGAACTCATGGTTGTGTGATTTAGCCCTGCCTTGGCTATAGGAAACTCAAATATTTAGTAATAAATCAACACTACAGACCCTGGTTTGCTATGCCTGAAAAGCTAGCTCCAGCTTACTGACTTTTTAGTGGCTGGATGTCCCTGTTGCTACATAGAAAGCTGCTTCCTCCCCTCCCCTTTTGAATATTCATCTTCTTTCAGATACATGTCAAAAGAGGACTATGACACCCCTGGCCTGCAGCTGTCAGGCCTAACTCATGTGCTTGCCTCCTTTTCCCCTCAAGTGCAACTGGGAATCAATAGTGCATGACAACGCCCTTTGATTTACATTCTTGCTGGCAGAAAGAAAGGTCAAAGGCCAAGTTCTTCGTTTTCATAGAAAACTAATTAGATGACTCCATCGACACTGAATCAATAAAACTGATCAGGTGATTACACAGAGGGAGCCATTAAAATCCCTGTGACCTTTGATCCTGAGTCCCTAACCTGAGAAGGAAGAGGCTTGGTTACATTCCCTAGTGCCTTGGAGGGCAGAACCTGCAAAGTAAAGATGGACTGGTCTGAAGGGTGGAAACACTTGGACTCTGCCTGTCATGGGCTCATATGCTACTACCCTCTTCTATCTCTATTGGCCAAATCATCTACAAGAATGCTGCCATAGGCGTACTGAAAAACTATAATAGATCATGGAGGAAAAAAAGAGCACCGACTCTAAGCAATCATTTGATTCTATGAACACTGATTCTAAACAACCATTCACTATGTTCTTCATACACTTGAAGTTTCCAGTCATCCATTTATCATTGTTCCCCAAATCAGATCTCATGTAGCAATCAACAAATGTTTGGCAATCATTGGCCTTCAGCGTTTGACTGCTTTAAAACTGAATTATTGCTTTAACCTATAGTTAACCTATAGTTATTGCTTTAACCTATAGTTCTTGCCCTAGCTGTACTGCATATTGTGTATTTCTGAAACTGGTGCAAAAAATATGTCCTGGACATAAGAACTATCCATTTAGTGACCATTGGAACTTACAATGGCACTGAAAAAAGTGACTTGTGACCATTTTCAACACTTAACAACCATTCTAGTATCCCCATGGTCACGTGATCAAAATTCGGACACTTGGCAACTGGCATATTTTTACAAATGTCTAGGGTCATGTGATAACCTTTTTGTGACCCTCTGACAAGCAAAGTCAATGGGGAAGCCAGATTCACTTAACAACTTTGTTACTAACTTAACAACTATAGTGAGTCAATAATTGTGGCAAGAAAGGTTATAAAATGGTGCAAAACTCACTTATTAACAGAAATGTGGGGCTCAATTGTGTTTGTAAGTCAAGGACTATCTGTACTGTGTATAAGCAGTATCAATGACCAGTTGTTAGCAGTGTATATAATCTTATGCTATTTTTCTTCTATATTTAAGATAGGGAATTTGCTCTCCCATTTCCTGTGGTCCCAGAACCAATATATCCCATGTACAAATTATCCCTGGTTGTGCAATGAGTTAGAGATGAGGTGTAAATATTTGCCAGCTCAAGATTCTCATTTCACACAAAAGCCCTTTAATAATTTCATGGGTTTTTTTTAAACTGTTGCCTGATGCCTAGGCTTCATACTAGTGTCTTCCCACTACCTATCGCCTTTCCCCTTCTTCAAGAGCACAAGGCAGGAGCTGAAAGAAGAAGCCTGCTTACAGGAACCTGAATAGTAAAAGAGTAGTAGTTCCTTTTCTCATAGTCTCCCCTACTGAAGAACTAAGGAAATAGGTACTAATCCCCAAAGCTAAGTATTTGTAAATAATACTCTGAATGCAAATATATTTGAGAATGAAGCAAATATCTATGCAGAAACTGCCAACTGTTTTGTATTTAAAGGGGCTTTAGATGGAGGAGGCAATACACCCAGTAAGAGCTACTGTAGCTGGCAAGGCCATGCCCACACCCTTGCAGCACATAAGAGCCAAATTCCTTTCCCCCAAACTTTATTCATGTGGCACATTTACAGCAAGGATGGGAGTAACGAGCCAATGAAGAGGTCAGGTTGGGTTCAGCTGGAACATCCACACACCATGCATTATTATTGGGAAGGCCCAGTGCCTGTATCAGCTCATAGCCCGATTGCTGCATGAGCAGAGCCCTCTTGATGTGGCTCCCAGGTTGATGGCAGCTGGAGCCTATGCCCCTGGGGGGTCCATTCAGCAAGGGCCAGGGAAGGATATTCTGTCAGGAAAATACTGAGCTAGAGAAGAAGAAGTAGGTTGATCCTCCTCCTCCTATACTGCAGGGCATTGGGAACTGGAGGGAAGAGTAGGCCATATCTCTCAGGCAACACACTGGTTTCAGCCGTAGTGAAAAGGGAAGTTAGTCAGATTGTAAAGGGAAAAGAACAGAGATTTCAATCCTTATGCAGATTGTTACAGTGTTCTGAGCTGGGAATACAACTCCTTGGCTGGACAAGCAGTATTGGGCATGTCCACTGCCCGCAATGGACTGCATACTACATCATGTGCAAGCACGAAAAAACACTTAAATAGGGCCCCTGACGTTCTGAGGATGCACCAACGAGAGATCTGGGCGCAAGAAGTGTTGCACATCGGATGAGCATCAACCAGGATGCTTTAGCATGTAACAGCCCCTGCTGAATGAAATCCCAGGGATATAGGCGGCTTTTAGTGGGCATGGAATACAGGCACTTCACCTTGAACAGAAAGAGCCGAGCTTCCTTAATCACATACAGGAGGAACCAGGGATGGGGCTTAGTGTTTATTTAAATCAGAAAGGGAACGAGCAGAAGGCTGCTGAAGAAAGGGACTGTCTGGATGCTGCTCAGTCAATATTTAGCTGACACGCAGGAGACACAGTAACAGATTCACACAGAAGAGGGGCTTGACCGCAGCTCTTGAGATAGTGTACTCAAAATAAAGAGGGCAAGTGCCCAGAACATAGCACCACGGTCTTGCTACAGGCGCAATTGTGAGCAGAGAGAGAGAGAGAGAGAGAGAGAGAGAGAGAGAGAGAGAGAGAGAGAGAAAGACGCCAAGGGGAATCAGAAGCCAACAAAAGGGAAAACAATCTACGTCTCTAACCATGTGGAGCAAGCGCCCTAGGGGGCTGCAGGCTGGACCAGGCCGGGCAGGCAGCTGCCCCTAGAGAGGGAGTCACTTCAGGCCTACACAGAGAATCCAGTTCCATATATACAGCCTCTACTGGCAGAACAGCAAAACTGACGGAGTCGTGGGGTTGCTCGTTCCTCTGTCCTCTTTCTGTTATTCGAATGCTCCAGCCCATCGCACCCATGTAGCAGGAGCCGGCCGCATGCAGCCCTGTCCGGCCGGCCCCAGAAATCAAAAGGGCTTGGAGGTCTGCTTGAAGATGAACCCTCTGTGAGCCAGCGTCTTCATGATGTTGGCAATGTTCTTGCAGTCATCTAATATCCAGAGAAGAAAACAAAAGAGCAAATTTCATTTGTGGGTAAGAAAAAAAAACCATGCATGTCTACAGCAATCTTAAGTGTAGTGGCATGTGTAGTATGCATGCAAAATGCTTCACTGAGAAAAATATGTTCCTAACATGCCACAACACACGACCTTACCTGTAAAATTACTCAAGCCTATATGAGCATCTTGCCATTTAAACATTAGTATTATGATTGCTGATATCCTACCTTTTGCCCAGACATCACAACAGAAAGCAATAATTGAAACAATTGAAAAGAATAAAACCGATAATTACTATGATCCAACATTTATACAAAGTATGCAATGAAGCAGGGTAAATTCTAAACAAATTGTACAAATAGAGGAAGTATGAAACCTATTAAAAATGCCAGCTATAAAATCTTCACTACAATGTACACGGACAATTTTGGCCTCTCATTTCCTTGCTCTTTCCATCCAATCAACATTTTATTTTAGTACAGGGGAGGAAATTTTAAGCACATGAGAGAAAGACAGTTGGCAGTTTAAAAACAGAGAAAATAAACATATTTGCAAAGGTATTGTCCTTGATTTTTGCTTAATTGAGCTGTTAATATTGGGAGCGGGAATTGACATACCAGACCTTGGATTAGTTGTATATGTGACTTGCTAGACAGATGCAAGGTGAGGGTACAACACAGAGCACCTGATATAAGGTGGGTATACTCTGCAGTAGCAGTATCTTGAGGAAAGTCTTGTAAGACTAACATCAGAATGACACAAATGGGGCTAGCAATGCCAGAAACAACTGTCTTATTCAGGTCACGTTCTATCTAAACACTTCAGATTCCATGCTCAGTAAAATTCATGGTAACTTCTAAGTAATTTCTCTTTTAAAAATGTTCAGATTATATAATTCATGTAAGTTAGAACAAATACAAACTGGTGAAAGGGTTAAAGAACTATCAAGGACAAAGATGTCGTTTTCAACAGAAATGCTACAAATACAAAATGCCTGGTTCATCTGCCTCAGATCCTTTTCCTTATAAAAGTGAACAATTAGAGCTAGAAACGTGATTTAAGAAGTAGATTTAAGATTTTGTAGATCTTAAATTAGGAATTATGTCACAAACGAAGAGCTAAACCAGTTTGAGATAATAGCCACAAATATCTGTGTTAAGCATACACAACTCCAGAACTTTATTGCAGGCCCTACTAACTGCTTTCCCCACACTTAACAGTGGAAGAACAGTAGCGGTTACAGCAAAAAATTAGGGCAGAAATACGGACAGATACAGCAAACCATTCCCTTCTGAACTAACAGGGAAACAAGACTTGAGCTGATTTGTGTTACCTGGACTAAACGCAAGCAGAGTTTGCTAAAATAGAAGCAAGGCTTAAATTGATTCTTGGTGTCTATATTTCATGTTGAAAATTGGCTTGTAAATCCATGTTTTGATCTATGGTGGCCGTCTCCTTAAGAAAAAGCAAGAGTAAATGTGTAATTTCTCCCTTGACAGCACACAGTGGCGAGGCGATCCTTCTTCCCGCTCCCCTCCGACTTGGGACAGCTCCGCTGCCTCCCATCAGCACTCTTTCTTTCTCGCCCCACGCCTTGATGTCTCCATTTCATTAGTGTGCGCCCATTCATCACGCTGTTACCGTAAGGGTGACTTTGCCCACTTGCATGTGGCAGGCAGGGCCTGGATGACATGGGGTGGCGCTGCCACTCTAAAGGGGGAACGAAGTAGAACACACACACATACACACACACCTCCTAGTAAATGGATGTTGTGGCAGAGGGACAGCTGCATCATTACTGATGTGTAAATGATAAAGCAGTGCCTCTACATCCATCTCTTAACTGTAAATCCAGGGAGTGCTTTATAATCAAGCGGCAGCGATAATAATGTGAAATTAGGTCTCTCTATCAAAGGGGGGAGGCCTTTTAATCACGGCTTAAAGGGTGCAAGCGCTGTTTATCATAATTGAACTGTATCCAGGCTAATTGTGGCCATATTTCACTGTCTAGGAGACAGGCACACTGTCTGAAGAATGAACACCAGGGGCCGAATGGAGCAGGAAACTGCTGTCCAACCAATCTTGGCCCCAAAGTGATGGCACTTCACTATTCAGGGAAGATATCAACAGATATTCAGGACATCTCCATCACTTTCCTTCTGATTAACCTATAGTGCTGGCAACACAGCAGAGAAACATCAGCAAAGGAAATTGTAACTTTGACCTACAGAATTTTGCAAATGCATACAATTAAACAGTTCTTACGACTCTACCACCACCATCATTTTGTATCAAAAATTTAGAAAGTAAAAAAATATATGATACAGTTATGCAAAATCTGCATTCATGTCACATACTGTGTTTAATCTGAGGACAAGTGCAAAAGAGAATTATTATAACAATTATAGGAACAGAGATATTACACAATGAGTACACCTTGGCCAGTTTAGCCCAGAGTATTATGTAGAAGACCCAAGCATTATAACAATGGTAGTACGGCAAAGTGATCTTCAGGAATGAGCAGTTGGAAATGCTAATGTTAGAACAAGCATGTATTCTTTCTGTAATGTTTTTGTCACAAATATCATATCTACCTTAGCCAGAGATTTGGGCATAGCTAAAAATGACTATACCCACAAATCTCAATCAATTTGATATTGCCAAAAAAGTGAAAATAGAAGGGATTCCTCTTCTCTAGGGAGAATCTTATTTGATTGGGAAGATATAACTGGTCTTATATCTTAGCTAGACTTCTGCACAGCAGAGCCTAAACAGTTTCCAAGCAGAGCACAATCATTTAGCAAATATGTTAAATGATTGTTTCTCAATCAGAGACTCATAAGCAAATGTAATACATTTTAAGTGTCACTTAGATACTATGGTTCCAGTGGCCTCACTTTGAGAACAGTCCATAAATGAAATGGTTAGTTTGTGAAGATTATACAGATAAAGCAACTTTCTTCCTCCTATCACTTTCCCCTCCCCCTCTGGCTGAAAATTGGGGCTGATACGTTATTTGCACCCTCCACACCTATGGATGGCTGTAAGTGAAGGAAGACTACAATAACATAATCACATTATATAGCTTTTAATTATTGTAAGTGTCAAGCCCTGGTAGCAGTAAGTCTATATGAGAATCAACTGAGATAATAAATAGATCCCGTGTGTGTGTGTGTGTGTGTGTGTGTGTGTGTGTGTGTGTGTTTTTCCCGTGTAAGATTGAGAGTATCTTGGCGACGTTTCGACGAGGTCCCACTCGTCATCTTCAGGCTGGGGTCTTCGGCTTCGTGCTCGTGCGAGCAAAGTGTGATCGGAGCAGCTTATATATATATAAATTTAACACTACGTTTTCATAGCCAAAAGTTATCAACCTTAAAGTATACCATCTCACACTATTGCATATTTCCATTACAATATCCAATCTAAGCACATTCATTCATCACGTTTGTTGTTTGTAATATTAAATGATTACTTCTATGTGCGAATCGGTCATCATATATCTGATACTATGGTGATAATTTTTAATCCCCCCATCTCTTCAGACGTAAATATATTAAGAAAGGCAATTCTCACATAAACTGAGCTTGAGAGGGCACAAATTAACAAGCAGTAGCATAAATTTCATGAAACTACTCTGTGTCGGACAAGATAACAGATTGCATAAGGCAGTTTTCCCTCATGGTCTGTATAGCAATACCCAGCCTAAGACAGTTCCCTCAGATCATTCCTTGAGAGATCAAGGATTTGGAGCCAGAAATATCACCTGCTCAGTGCAGCTACTTCCCTCTCCAAGGTCAGATTAGCTCCCACTGCCTATCCCAGTGTTTCTCAACCTTGACAATTTTAAGGCATGTGGACTTCAACTCCCAGAATTCCACAGCCAGCAATGCTGGCTGTGGAATTCTGGGAGTTGAAGTCCACATGCCTTAAAATTGTCAAGGTTGAGAAACACTGGCCTATCCTTTCAAAAATGGTAAAAAAAAATAAAACCTTTCTCTCTTACAGAGATTTTGGAGAGAAAGAGTGTTTAATCGGGGAGCAGCAATTGAAATAATTTAGGTGTGTCATGTATCATTTTAATGCTTTCTCAATGTAAGCCATCAGGACTCTTGACAGGTAGACGCATACACATTTCTGTAATAAATAAATAATCAATTATTCAATCAATCTAGTGTGGGAGGGTGACAGTGGGCGGGACAAAGCTTCTCCAAATACTAGACATGCTGCACCCACTCCATTGTCCCTCGTTTTTTTTCTTTCTCCTTTTCAGCTATTCATTCACTGAAATGAATAAACATTTTCTTTAAAATCTTTGATTTTCCCATGAGATGGAGCAATTTCCAGGAAAGCTAAATGTTGAAGCTAAAGGCTTACTGTCATTTGGGGGGGGGGGGGGAAGGGGAATATCCTAGTGTAAAGAAAGCAAAACTGAAACAAGAACAACCAAACTCAAACAGGTA